TATCAATATAGAAAATAACAAATATTTTTTCATAACGTGGAAAATCCTCTAAAAAATGGGCCCTGAGACCCATGAGATCAAACTAAGCACAGGGGGCGTCAGTATTGGGTACCAGGAGACCCCAAAAAAATTTTGCAGCAAATCCATGACCCGGAGCTGGGGTGGTCTTTTATTTTCAAGTGAAAAATAAGCGGTGATAATGTTTTTTATTGTAACTCTAATTTCAGATTATAAAGGAAGACACTTATGGTTTTCATGAAATTAGACATTTATGCACACAATTGTTCTGTTAGATATTAATTAGTTCAGATGGTAATTATTGTTAAATAACAATAGATTTGATATTCAGTAAAATTATTTTGCTTTGATTTGACGCCCCTAGAGCCCGTGACGCTTGTGCCCTTGTTTTTTTTTCGGGTCGGGCAATCGTGTCATATTTTAAAAAATTCAATAAAAAATTATAATTTTAATGTAATTAAAAATTTTTTTATATCTTATAGAGCTCGAGCTTCCCTTTACAATAATATTTTCAAATTTAAAAAATTTTTTAAATTTGCTTCAGGAAGCAAGTTTCAATTTAGGATGTGCCTTGTGCCCGCATTCACCCTTTATCGAGTTCGAACTCAGTGTGTCAGTGTTTACAGTCCCCCGAGTCATCGAGGTTGCTGAGTGCATTTAAAACTCAGACTCAGGCTCAGAATGCCAGTAGTGTTAAACGCATAACTGGTCGTCGCTTTCAAGTGTGAACAAGTACCATGAGTGCGTCTATGAGCAGCATGTGAGTTACAAGTCGCGAGATTCTCATTTTATGTAGCCTCCTATAAGTGTGTGTGTGTGTGTGTGTGTGTGTGTAAAGCATTCAACGCATACGCACGCAAATAACGAAATAAGTATTAACATTATTTCGTGACTATGTATGGCTGCAGTGTTATCATAGGTTTCATTATTATCCTGACTTGCGTCGAGAAGATATCAAAGGAATTTTTATAGCAGTAAAAAGGGCCAGTGTCAAAGGTTAATTAACGCCTTGCTGTTGCGTGATTTTGCACGTCGGCACTTTGATTGAGCAAAGGGTGTCGACGGCACGCTGGTCACAGTCTCTAAAGGACGCAGCGCTGTAAAGGCAAAAGCGACTACTTTTTTATCACACTCTAGCACCTTAGTAATATATAAGCCAACTACACTGCAAGTATAACAAAAACGTACGAACATGGACTTACTGAGTGTATGTACATTTGCATCTCAGTCACATTTTTTACACTTTACGGATTTTGAAAAAAAACAATATTGCTTTCGCCTTTTTACCATCCAATTCCGGTATAATATTGTCGTCATTTGAAACAAAGAGAAGAAGGAGATTGGATGAACGTTGGAAGGTAGACTATTGATTATTTGCAGCTGTCTCGAGGCAGACATAAGGACTGCCGATGACTCTGCAGCATCGCGTCAATCAGCAGCTATCACCGCGAGATCGAGCGCAGTGCAGATTGAAATGTTCGATCGAGTTTAAATATAGACGATGAGCAGTGCAGTCGACCGATGGCGGTGGCGGCGGCGTCAGCTACTCGTGTAACTATACTATTAAGTTAAGTTCCAAAACTCATTACTGAATCGCTTGCAATTTGCAACACGTTCAAAAGAAACGTGTTTCCGTTGTGCAGTAGTGCTGTGCGCGGCAATAATTTAGCTCGGCAGTGCAGCACGCGCGACTTGGGTTTGTCTCGCTCGCGGCTCGAGCGCTCCTCGCGTCCTTCTTTAACAAAATTAATGTTGTTTACAAGTGTTGAATAGTTCGATTTGCACCGACCATAATTGTTCCGACTCAAGTGCGCACGCAGTCGATGCAGCTGCATATGTGCGCGAGTATGTCCTCCTCTCAGTTTGCGCGGGGCCTTCTTCTTTATATATTTGCTGCGCGTATGGCGTCGATATTTTTTTTCTTTTCTTTTCCCAAATGTTGTGCAATGCGCTTGACAAAACTCGCTGAATATACAACTTTTTTTTATTCACTCTCTGCTACACGAGATGCATGTATATACAACTCGAATTATTCGATTGCAGTTTATATTGATGATGGGTGTTTAAAGCGCGGCATGCAGCGTTCGCGGTTACGAACGGAGTGAAATAAAAAATATTTCTTCATCGATACTGCAGAGAAATAAAAAATATTTCATAACGAGTCCGCATCGCACGCGGCAGCAGATCATGAAAAAAATGAAGTAATTAAAATGTACAGAGGTACGCGTCGACGTTATAAAGCAGTCGGATTCGTATATAAATAAGCTGATATAAAGTGTATTTGCGCCGGAACAATGCCACGGGGATTCCCCGCGTAGATTTGGTTCTCGAGTTCCAGAGGCAATCTCGAAACCAGCCACCTTCTACTATTACTACTGCTGCTACTACTACTGCTATGCAGGCACATTATTGTTCGCCGCGCGCTTGGCACATAAAGCGGCCATTCGGTATTATGTATATTTAAGCAATATCAAACATCGCAGACGGGGTGAGCGCTGCACGATTGAGGGGAATCGAGAAACTTTGTTACTGCTCCAGCCATTAGCAGGACGATTGGAATCTAATATATAATTTGTGACCGTGTAAGGACTGAAGATTCTGGTCATAACGATGATACTTTAACCCTTAAGCGGATCCACGCCATCTACGTGAGCGGGTGAGCTCACGAAGTTTAGAGTTAAACGAAACTTAGGGAATGATCTTTTTATCAAGAGCTTAACGCATAACTTGCCTCTTCGTTTGAATTTGAAGTTGCCTAACGTCAAGACGTAGAATGACTTGTGAAAGGGACATCTTTTGATATTCTTGCAGCTTGTTCTCAACGATCAAAACGAATTAAAGAACGAAACGGAAAATACAGTGAATTTATCTTTTGATGAGTTATTCAAACTAAATCACAACAATATATATTATTAAATTAAATGATGAATGTTTTCATGCGTTATACGTGACTTAAAATAAGCAATAACTTATAAGAAACCACTGTCAATTGACAAGTAGCTTCCTCTTTAAGATGCAATTATTCCTATTTTTGTGCTTAAATGCTAATGAAATAAGATATGTCTTAATTCAAAATAATAAATTCTACTTAAATTTTAAGTAGTAGTTGTCTAGCGTTATCTTAAACTATAAAATTATAACGAGTTCTAAAGCAGAAACTGGAAACTCGAATTGGTTGCAAGTACACAATTTGGAACCGTTACTTTTATAGTTGATCGATTACAGTACATTATTAATAAAAGTCACAATATCGTTTAACAAATATTATCTTTGCATACTAGCATCAAAAAATCAATCATGCGAATTTCTCAATTCAGCGAAATATGTACGTAAATTCATTTATATTAGTATTTCGATTTTTAGAGAGTTTAAGAACCTAGACTAAAATTATTTTCAAAGATACTTATTGAAATTTTCAATGAATATTCAAAATTTTTATTTTGACCTGGCTTCAGAATCTAATAAATCTGTATGTACCTACCACAAATGTCTTTGTTATAATTCGAGAAATACAATGCAAGAAAAAAAAGAAATGATTCTCGACTCATTATCCATAGACAATAGTACTCAGGAAAAAAGTCTAGACGTGACTAACGAACGTCACGAATTAACCGAGAATGCAAATAAGTTCACTTTCCGCGGACTTGTTGTAAGCGCGCATAGTGTAGGCGCGTCTCTTAGATATTACGCGCGCCATCGTCATCTGCAAACTGCAACTGGTGCAGCAATGAGCGAGTAAAGTCTGTACAACAGCAAGAGTGAGCATGCATACGGGCCAACTACGTGCAGACTACGCATCGACGATGACTTGTCTTGTTGCGTGCTTAACATCGAGTACGTGTCTAAAGGTGAACTTTAACTGGCAGAAATCAGTGATGATTTACCCGACGCGATCGTTGCGGAAGATTAAAATTATCAACTTCGCAGGCTTATCCATCTCGTTGAACTTTTCACGCTTTAAGCAAATGTAACTTTGTCGTGCAACATCTCTTCATAAGTTAGACAAGGAGCAGGGCGATCTGCTTAGTGTTTCAACCTCATCGTGTATCAAAAATTACAAACTCACAAACAAAATGTTCAATTTAAAATATCAATGCTTCTCATAGTTAAGAAAGCTGTGTAGTGGAGAGTACGATTTTTCAATATTAAATAATACCCCGTTGTTCAATAATGCGACATTTCTAACGAGCTCATTGCTATCTAGAAGGAAAATAAAAAAGATCCTGTGCTTGAGGCATTGGTCATGAAAGTTTCATTTTATCAATTTTTTATAGCATAAGATCTTATTGACGTGCAAGTCAACGAGAAAAAAAACCGTCAGAGCAGCTAACTAACGATCTCTATGAGTTTAAGGAAGCACGAGAAAAGGACCAGAACAAAAAATAATTGTTTTCTATATACTGTGCGATATTGGAAAAAAGCTGCTTAGTTTTCAATGCTTGTTTTCAAGAGTCTATCGTTTCAAGCTCAGTTTTTTCCCTTTAGCTTCTATAACTGTTAAAACTATTGAATGTTGTTTAGTTCTGGACTTACCTTGGGCAGCAAAAATGATAAATTAAAAACTTCTTATGCACCTCTATTGACTGTGATGAAAAAGTTACCGATTTCAAGCTTTCATTCGATTTTAACGAAATAAATTCATTAATAAGTGTAACATAATTTTCTTAAAGTTTGTTTGAAACATTGAAAGCATTAAAGGATGAAGAATCAAGGAGGGGTTCACATATTATCAGAAAATTAAAATGTATGAAAAGTGTATTTTATTGAGTACAAGAGTCAGTGCGGTAATACTATAGTTATTATAGTAAACTAATTTTGCTTTTTTTGCATGCAAAAATTTCTAATAAATTCACCCAGAAATTTCAATCATTTTACTGTAAAGGAGCTTACAACTTTCAAGAATTACGAATATTTTACGAAAGTGGTTGAAACTATTTTATTATTACGTGGGTTCGGTACAATAATCACGTTAGAAAGAACACTTGGGAAAGTGCGTTTTTTTATTTTGTTGACTCAATTTATCAATTATGCACTCACTATGGTCTTATGTCAATTACAATTAACAGTATACATTTTTATTGATTATACATAAAATTAATGAAAATAAGAAAAGCTACCAATCGATTCGTACTTGAAAATAGTTATTTAATAATATTTTTACATTTAAAATTTTATAATCGACTACAACTAGTTTGTTTTATAGTACATGTTAAACCCTCTACTTGTCGAAAGATTTAAAAAATCATTTTCGCAGATCGTTGAATCGCGAATCCATGATTACTAATTTGATTATCTATAACAGTCGAATAAATATAAACGAAAATAGTACAGTTCGTCGCTGATTTATAACGATTTGCAACATCAACATCACTTTTTGAAAATAGTATTTTACCTACGTATGGTCAAAAAGTACTCTTATCACTTTCTTATTCATTAAACTACGTATAAAAAATCGAAAAATTACAAAAGTTCATTAGCGTTTAAACATTCACGACACGATTACAATTATCAGGATCAAGATTAACTAAAAAAAAGTAAGTGTTTTGCTCTTTAGAAGGCTTAAGTATTGGTGTAAAGCAACTCGTAATGCTTTGAAAACGTTGAATTTCGTTTTTACAGGCTATTCATGTATTAGGCATTTACATGCTACAAAAAAATATTGCGTGAATTTAATATTTTTAAGGTAAATTATATCTTATTTTTTAAATCACTTAATAATATACTTTATCGATAGAGGTATATCTTTCAGATTGAAACTACTTTTAAGTAACTCTAATTTTGAACCGATCAAAAAATTAGCAACACTTTGAAAATTCTTCAAACCCTTGAATATCAAAGGTTTATTCGTTATACATTTAGTGAAAATTAATTTGAATCAAATTGTACAAGTATTGAAAGCGGAAAATATAAAGTTCAAAAGGACAATAATTTTATGTTAGAATATTATTCATTCCTGCACTAAATCCTCAAAAGTAAAATGTTCCTTAGATGCCTCATTTCAATTGCACATTGCCTTTGAAAAATTCGGATGTACCTTGGAATATTGAAAACGAAAAAAAGTAAAGATTATGTTTGGTTTGCAGGAAACAAACTTGACGGTCTATAATACGATAAATAAATATTTAACGACTATAACTTGATATTCACATAATGCCACTGTATCTTTGTAAAATGATTTTATACAAATGATTGTACTTATCCCTACGATTATAATTTGCTTTAAGCTCGGTGAAAAAATACTAATATTACAATGCATTTGATTATTACCTAAGTTTTTAAATAGTATGTTCATATTTTAGGAATAACTATGGAAAACGTGAACTTTTCATAAAATCATTTTCAAATAGGTAAACCGTACGTATGAATTATTATGATTTGAATGCAAGTCTAAAAAAAAGGCAGTAAATTTTTTTTTCACTAAATATTCCACGTTTAAATTCTATTATTCACTTTATATAATGAGATTAAATGGATTTGTTTTTAATTCAATTTGATTTTTCAAGTGTCGCCAATTCATATAATTCTACTTGTATATTATAAATGTACGAGTTGATCGTACCGAGTAAATTATATTTTTATCTAAAGTTTCCGTTTGATTTATATACTCCTTTCAAGTAGTTAGAAATTCAACATTTAATCAAGTAACTATAATGAATCAATTATATGACAGACTATTAATTCATTTATGTACATTGGTTCACCACTAGAGATCAGCGGCCTCCCAGACTAACATACGATATTTTAAAGACAGTTCTGAAATTTGAAATTGATCTTTAAAAAAATTGAGAATTTAAACTCAATCACAAAGAGTACGCAACATGATTTTTCCGATACTGTTTGAAATATTTTCTGAACAATTGACTAATTCATGATTCATGCAATTAACTTGCATATAATAAAGCTCTAGTATAAATTAAAAAATTCACGTAGCACGTGTTATAATTGTTATGATCATTTAAAAACGTGATTAAACACGCGTAAAGCACTACAGCAATATCACCGTTTTGCTTAAATAGAAAAGGAATCGGCATTATTTATAGATACATCAATGTACACAGCTAATAAAATTCGCGGCGTGGCAGGTAAGTGATAATATGTACAACTCATAAACGCTCATCCCGTTCACTACCACTTTTACACAATACATTTGTTCGTCCGCTTTGCGAAATCATAAAATGATCGTTGAAAGCGATAGTGTCGGAAGTAAACGAAGGTAGATAAATATTTGAACTATTAATTATAAAAAGGGGCTGAGGGTTTCACAAGGTGCTGCAATGACGTTGTGTCCGGGAATAAGTTAATTTCGAGGGCTTTTTTCTGATTGGGCTTATATCATACTTGCTCTTAATTCGCTGTTAACATGCATTATCACATTAGCAGTATTTTTTTCTCTCCAGGCAAAGTCACAGAGCAACAAAAATATTAAAGGTGAGTAGTTTGCAAGTAAAACAGCTCATGCGAGCCTAGCCCACTTAATGAAGTCCAGTAACTCGCGTACAGGAATGTCTCGGGCAATCGCTTTCACCCTCAAATTGCGGTCCTCCGTCAGCAGTACCACGTCGCGCTTCAACTTGCGCGTCTGACCTAGTCCGACGGTGTCTGAAACAATCAAGCCAACCATTATTTTTATCGCCTCGGCCCAGCTGGAACGAAGGTTAGACGCAAGATTTTTGTTGAATCTTTCAACTCTTTGCTATATAGGCTATAATGGATTTAACACGCTTGGTTTTCGAAAAAATGTCAAACTAGCGGTATACTCTAATGGCAAAGTTAATTTTAGTATGCATCCGACCCCCGGGGAGTGAACGTTTGCTTATGTAAATGCCGTGCATGCTCGAGAACCGTCTTATGTAGGTCATTACACACATTTTATTGCATTTACACTGCTACTTCATTCATGTTAGGTGTAATATGACTTAGAACTCATATTGCTCATTACACAAACATGACTTTTACAGTCGATGAGCTATGTTCATGTATACAAATATTATACATTCGTACGTTTACTCAATAATAAAAGTTCAAAAATAAAATACATCGAAAATTGTGACTTACCATTGCTTTGATCTTTATTGGATTTGCACAAGCTTAGGCACGTATTAAGTATTTTGTCATCGTTTTTGGCTACGGTATCCTGAAAAAGAAAATGTGATAATTTTTAAATGACTTTTATTTTTCATCCATCTTTTTTATAGTATCTAGTATACAATGTATGATTTTCAATTTGAATATTTCATTTGGAATAATTACAGCATCCAACCGTTATTCAAAATAAAAAGTCTGTGTCATGTTTATTCACCTCATGACCAATTTATAAGTAACAGATATTGATGAAATTCATTGTTATGTTCAATTCATAAAAAAAAAACAGTTACTTTATCATATTCTTACCTGACAACCATCCTCTTCAACAGTAAATGAACTAGAAGCAAGTATCGTTCCTCGTGTAGTCACACACTTTACCGCTGGATTTTTGCTTCGTATAAAAGTAAGAGCAGCATGGGAATTTGCGGCAACCATGGCTATGTGTTCTGGACTTTGGGCGAACCTTGCCAAAGTTGCGTGATTTTGCATGTCAATGCCCTTTGTCAAGCCTTCAAGCTCGTTCAAAACTAAAAAAAACAAAGCAAATATCCAAACAAATTAAATATTTTATGTAGTTCTCGCCAATTTTTATTATCTGTTGGTGTGAAAAAAACTCGCGAGGCTAATAAATCATACCACTCTAGAATTAGGCTTGTTAGAGAAAATGTGATTTTGAGAATGAAGCTTTCACCCCCCAAGCGATTCATAAATTGTTACTTCGTGCAAAACATGCCATTTTCGACACCCCAACGTCGAAATAGGCCCCCGAGGAGGGTGAAAAATTACTAGGCCTCCTTACGCCGCCGATTTTTATTGCATGAACGAAGATTTTTCAATTCTGATCACAATCTAACACCGAGGGAGAAACACGTCATTATAATTTCAAATAGGCAACTTGCTGAATCGAAAACAGACGCTAAATAAATTGAAATCAAATATTTATGAAAATAACAAAGTCGACGTAAAGCGTGTACGGTTATACGAGAGCTGAAAATATAAAAATAGGGGTAGAAGTGAGATGAAAGAGGGGAGAAAAGCAAAAAAGAAAAGAATGAATGTAAAAGAAATTTGTGTCGACCAATAGCACAGTAGCCACGGCAAAAGAATACTCAGGAGACTAGTATTATCCTATTCAAATACTGCACTCCTTATCCCCTGCGGAGATGTCTGTTGCCTAGTGGAAAAACCTAATTTTACGAGATCATGCCTTGTTCGAATATCTCTTTCTCTCTGTACCCTTATTTTTGTATGCTGAATTACACACAAAAAAATATAAGAACTAATTCGTCATACTTGGAATGAAATTCGTATTTTGCTCTTTTTGTGAACTCGAAAGTATGTTAATTATTAGAAAAAAATTAAGTAGAAATCCAAGTCAGAATGAAGCTTTAGCTCGGTAACTGTTTGTTAATAAGGAGGAAACAAATGAAATTAATAAATAAGATTTACGTTAAGGTTTGCGTAAAAATGTATAAATATAGTCTAGGGTTTCGCACGCTAATGAACGAGTTGTTAAATTAGCGCGCGAAACAGTTTGCGTAGGTTTGAAAATTTTCCCGCTCGCAAAGCAAATTCATCTCTCTTAGACTTTTTCTCTCTAGCCAAGATGCAGAACGAGCCAAAGATAATCTGCATTGATGTAAGCAGTGGCAGAGAAGAGCCAGGAAGAGAGAGAAAAGGTGATTTTTTGACCTCCAGTAGCGGAAAGTGTGTTGCGCAATCTAAGTACTAATATACAGTCAATATGTGCGAGCGCAGCCAGAGCCAGCGAGTGTCGAGCCTTATCGTGCGGGACTCTTCTTTGTCGGGTGTGCAAAATAGGCCAGCAATTAAGGCGCAGTGCGAGGCTATATACCCACTCACGCGCATGGCATTAACGCGCATAGTGCAAAAGTAGGAGAGAAAGAGAAAGAGAAAGAACGAGATAAAGTGAGATGAAGCGTAGCGAATTTCGTTCTGGGTTCGATTGGGCGCGCTAAATTCATCAGCTGCGCAAGCCGAGTACGTTAAGGGGCTATCCGCGTGCAGGGCCTCGCCCACGCGCGGCTGCTTTGGCCGGTATAGATATTCTAAATGTACGCGCGCAAACGTGTATATGTGTGTGTGCAAAGCGTCGGCTAAAAAAGAGAGGCAGAGAGAAAGAGCAGCAAAGGGAAGGCGTAAGATGCATAAGATGCGAGAAACACACATAGAAGGTGGAGGGAGGAGAGGAAAAGAGAGAGAGAGAGAGAGAGAAAATCTATACGTAGGCATGCCTCAGCGACGAACTATATAGCAAAGCGAGAACGAGCTGGCCGTGAGAACCTAACTGTGTGAAGACTCACCGTTGTTCGTCCGCGCGCGCCGCGCGCACTATGGCCCAAGTACGTATATGCATAGAGTATGTGCTCGAATGTACCTATACACGTGTGTATGTGTGTTTGTGTGTGTGTGTGTGTGTGCATCGAGAAGATCGAGAGGAAAGGATGAGAAGAGAGGACGACTCGCAACGCGTAAGATGATGCTCCAGGGTCGGAGGTCACTCGTGGCTCCTTTTACCCGTTTTCGCGGCTTCATCAGTAGGTCAACATCTTGGCGTGTCTTTATATATCGAACTCGCCTTCGCGACTCACGTACCGATGCTATTTATATAAATGTTGGCAGCAAATTCTACTTTCCAGGCAATTCGACAAATTTCAGTCGCATGCGGCTACAATTAAAATTAGAGACGAGAGACTCGACTGGGATAATTCCCCATCGAAAGTCCATCGGATATTCGTCAACTAGGTTGGACTTTTTTTCGCCGAGTCCAGCGTATAAATACTCAAAGGCAAAGACGAGACGAAAAAAGGCCGCACGGAGTAAATCTATAACGATTGCGAGTTGCAGTTGCTATATATAATCGACGACTCGAGCTATGGGCTCTATGCGCTCGGGCTCTTCTGCTCTCTGCGGCCGGTCAGCTACTAAACACAAAAAGGGTAAAAAGCTCGGCCGTTAGTCGACATACCAGAAATTACGGATATAATGGGAGTGTGTGCGGTAGCCGAGCAGCGGCGGCGTTGGCGGCGGCACATCGGAGGGATAAAATTCCTCATCGGCGAATTTACAGCTTCGATGAGTGCGGACGCGTGTGTGTGTGCAGTGGAAGAGCGGCAGAAGCAGCAGCAGCAGCTCCTGGTTGCGCCGCGAATATACATCGCGCGACTGGTGCACGCGCGCTCGCGTTATTTACCGTTAACCACGAGGCAGAGCGTCTATATACACACTCGCATACACGTAGTATACGCGCATATCATATAAGATACATGTGTACACATACCGCAGCATCAGAGCAGCCCTCTTCCTATTATGCGCATGTTTAATATACAGAAAAAGAGAGTGAGAGAGAGAGGGAGAGACTGCGCGATCGTGTGACGTAATTGCGAAGCTTGCGCTCGAGCAATCATCCTCCGTTAACATGGAAAAATGCTATTACGTATACCTAAATATATCACGATGCGCTTGCCTATGCGAGCCGCAACTTTTGCTTCCGTCTACGCCTCGCTGCTTGAAAACGCCCAGCACGTGTTCCAAAGGGGTAAGATGAAAATTCATCTCGGCCTTGACCTCGCCGCAACTGGCTGAGCTTTTATCTTTTCGCTATATACTCGAGCTTTCGCGGTTCAATGAATCTTCGTCGAACGAGTTTAAAAAAAAGCACACCGATCAACTGACTTTTGGTCGACATTCATAAGCAGTATTGTAAGCATAAAAATCAAGTCGGTTTAAATTATAATCTTTTGATGCTATAAATTAGCGCACGCGACTAGCGGCTAATTCAGATTACGAATGGCGCATTGGCGCGTCACCGTAGGGTCGCGAGAGAGGAAAGCTCTCACGCGAGTGCGTGAATCGAGCGCGCGGCTATAATTTGTCCGATTCAACAAATCGTCGAGAAAATAAATGTTTCAATACAACTGACAAAACTTCACAGACATCCCGCGCGCGCGTATGTTTATCAAGTGGCTCTTTAGTCTCGGCAAATCTCGCGTGGCTCCTTCCGCGTTGGTAAGTAATGTTCCGCTTTACCAATTCCCAAGAGCTTCGATCGCGCGGTAAAGTATGTCAAAGAAGAATTCCTGCATTCAACAATAGCCGTAGAATATACACGTCTGCGTACTGTGGCGCTCTTGCGTATTTATATATACCTGTAGTAATAGGCAAATACTCTCATGGCATTCGTGGCCTGCGTAGGTCAATGCAGGTAACGATCGCGAGGCGCGCTTCTGACCACGTGACGACTCGAAAATATGTTGCGCGCTTTGACTGACTATCGATCAATCGATTAAAACTTATTAACTATTTCGATATACGAAAAGATTTTCATAAGTAATTCCTTAAATACTATACAAACATTAGTTTTTTGGCTTACCGTGCTTGGAGCAAAATTACGACAACAAAATGTAAATTAACAGATTACTCACCAACTATAGGAACCATCAAGGTGAAAAGCGGTAATGATCCATACGTAGCTTTGGCTAAAATTTGAAGTTGAGGCAAGTGATCGATGAAACAATTTGTGTCAGGAACCAAGTGTTTGGGCCTTATTTCCATTTCAACGGCTAGTGTCGACGTCTGCAAAATAGTCTGTAAAGAAAATGAAAAATGAAAATCAACATTAGTTCAAACAATCGATACATGAATATGATTTATATGTTAAACTCGCTGAGTGTAAATGAAAATTCACACTATAGAATAATAAACTCGTGTACTGTAAGTCATTTATTTCGATGGATGCGGCAGTGCTAAAAATGTTCCCCTTTATGGATGGTTGCAAACGGTATTACCAAGTAGTAATTCATTATGGGTCATCAATTACGGGGTACTTAAAAAGATTCCTAATGAATAATCATTATTCAGTGTAACAGTGTTACATTGATATATGCGCAGCCCGAGAAGGATAATTTCTGAGCATGGTCCTTGGCGATGCAAAACCTAGCCAATTAATTGAAAAGACACAGAGAGAACTCATGAGAAACGGTCCCGAGCGAACGAGTGAATTAACACACAGAAACTAACAAAGATTGCAAGTATCTCATTGAATTTCAACCGGGTGAATAAAGGGAAAAAAGTTGACTCGACCGAAGCGAAGGAAGTCTGGTTTGCGCACCAATCAAAAGGTCGCTACCCATTTGGCGGCAAAGATGAGCATTGATAGTTTATGCATAGATGGAAAGAGAAAGAGAGAGAAAGAGAGAGAAAAGTAGCTTTGTCATAAGTCTGCATGTATGTATGCGTGTATGGGGAGGAGGCGTTTTATCATATAGTCGTGAGAACTCAAGTTAGAATCACGTGCGTGTCTTGAACGCGATTTAAGCGCACTGCATGTACGGGCTCGCACCAATACAAACACACACACACGCACACACATATATATATAATAGATATATGTATACAGAGGCACTGCAGCGGACGAGGATATGCACGTGTGGCCTGCATAGATGTACATTGTAAATGCGAGACGCTCTCGGCGCATTCGCGGTATCGGGGACAGGTTTAGCACGATCCTATGTAGGTATAAGCTCCAACTCTGTATACTTATACACCCACATTTACGCATACATTGCTCGATGTATCAATGAAAACTATTTGTTTCTACATGACCGCTGTACTTAGCACTGTATGCGCATCGCAGACAAACGCGACTTTCCATTGTTTTTTATGATTTCCTTTCGGTGCCTCGTTTGGCCGTGTCTTACGTCACGTATCTTTCAATTTTTATTTCTTATAATTTTTCAGATATTTGTTGAAATTCGTACCATAAATGAACTCGCAAGAAGTTATTAAATCATTCGGCTTCTCCTTAACCGGAGTCCTGGAAAAGTTGATCAGTAAGAACTGCGGAAAACAAGTTAGCCAAATAGAGCAAAAAGAGATAATAGCATTTATTAAATGCAGCCATACACGTATTGTCTCGTACTGGCCGGTGGTCTCGGCGCTCGCACAGGATAGTCCAAGAGGTAATGGGCCTCGCAAATCAGATCACAGATCTTTTGTGCTTCTCTTTGAGAGAGCGAGAGCCAACCACCCGACGAAGCGAAGCCCACCTCTGCTACTGTTGTTTCAAATCTAATTTAACGCAGCTCTTAATAACCCTGTAAATTTCATCCTGCAAAGGATCGATATTGCCGCGTCTGCACGAGCGATGCACGATTTTAGGGACTAACTTGCCGCACAACACATCTGCACGTTCAAGTATATAGCAGACTTACAATGGCAGTAAGATACAATGGACCCAGTTGCCATGAGCTACAGTTGTTACCATATTGGAATGGCTAACATAGCTCGCTTGACTTTACTTTGCATAGAAAAACAATTTAATTGACAAGTGCCCCTGTACTGTTGCACGCAAAGAAGTTATATCAAAAAAGTTGGTAATGAATTGTAAATCTCGATCGTCATACATAAATAATATTTATAAATTTGACTAAAATTCATACTCATATAGAATACATGTTAAATTCTTAATTGGCATTAAAAATCAAATTGAACGCGAATGCAACAGCTGAACAAATTATTTGTAATAATTCCATTATTTACATAATGTGTGACTTGATTCTCCGAAAGAACAAGATCTGTATGAATTATGGCTTGTACACAATGCGTCTGCAAGTATATGTGACGAGCATAAGTCCGCTCGAACACAGAAACACGTCGACATAATAAGAACTGCCAAGATTTGCCAGGGCAATACACCCAGACAGAGTATTGAGCTTGCGGCGGGCTTGTTTGCTATGTACACGTTTATGCATATGAGTTAAGGAACCTCTTTTATAACTCATTACTGCAGGAGGATAACATGGAGGTGTTACATCGAAGACGAATATTTTCGCAGCGATGACGATCGAGAAACGAGTTAATAGAAAAGAAGGACTAGAGTAGCAAATAGAGAGGCCAATTACACCTGATAGTTTGGCGCGCACGCGGACGGACGCATGGACGGACGGACTGATAGATGGACGGGTGGTTAGACGTGCCGGCAATAGCAACTGCCATCGCAAATGAGCGCGCGCTCCAACTTAATTAATTTATGGATGGCCGCCGTTTGATTGGGCGATTGCTTTAATGGAAACTGCGATCATGCACATTTTGCACGCAATCTCAGTTATTGCACGCGTCTCATACGTGCGGCTCGCACATATTCACCTTAAGCGCTGTATTATACCGCAGTAAAAATTAATTGTGTAAACAAATTCAATTCGCCGTTTACTTTTTTTTACAAATAACTTCAGATATTTCATCGAATATGTCGGGGTACAGTTATTATTTCAACGTGGTAAATAAACTCCAACTGAATTTTTTATTTTAAATGGATTAATTATTAAATCAAGAAATTTTCGAAGATTTTTAATTTCTTTTATCCAATTGACCTTTTGTTAGGAACTTTTTGTTTTAGATATGACTTTCATTTTTCGGTTCTTAATAAATTAAAACTAAAATAAAATAATGGATTCTGAAAAAAGGCTTGTCTTCGTTACTCCGATTAAAATTGAATTAAAATCAAGAGCACGGGTAAAAATGTTTTTTCGGAAATACTTTAAAAATGAATGTTATACTGATTTCAAACTTAACCGACCGAATAGACAAATTTATTCTCTAGTAAATGCGGATAAAAAATCTATTGGATCTAAGCCCATCTAAGAGCTTTGATGATTAGGTTCATAAACGCGTTATCAAGAAAAGACTCACATCGATTCTGTACATAGAAGAATAAACATCGTGAGATATTTGCAAGAAAATATTAGTATGTAAAAATCCTTTTTTTTGTCAAACTAGATATTTTTTATGTATTATAAGCTTGAAATGATGCGTGTTACTTCACAAAGGTGATATGTGCGGGAGTCGAGAGAATCGTCAGCGAAATCGTCAGGCGCAAGGAGAAAGTCGTATTCTGTATCCGCTACCGAGCCTTTGCACCCTTTCGCGTTTAAGGCCAAAGCCGACGAGTAAAAACAACAACAGCAGCAGCAGTAGCGATTCGAAGTTCTGAAAGGGCAGAAAGGCGACAGGAGCACACGCGACTTCCTCTAGAGCGCTACGCTGCGCTGCCTGCCTGCTTGCCTGCCTGCCTACACTACAAATACATGACAAAAAGTAAAGTCGAGTAGAAGACGAGGGCAGAAACGACAACCCCCCTCTCGGCTCCCACGGGACACAAGTGCGAGCTCATCTCTTTCAACGTAGAAATTACAGATGACGAGCTGGAGTACACGCGCGCGGAGGAAATGCTGGTCGTTAGTGGATCCTACACTGGATGCGTTGAACGTGCACGACTCGGAATATAGTGCTCGGTGCATCATGTATACACTGCACACATACACAACACACATATTCGTGTATATGGGCTGTATGACGTTGATCTTAATTCAACCAAGAGATACGATATAAACTATGCGTTTATTCTCTCAAGAGAGAATAGAAAAATGAAAATCTTGACAACTTCAGACATCTAGATGATATTTCCATGGATTTACACAATTTCAAAGTTGACATTTAAATTTCTTGATATTATTGTATAATTTACGATTACACAATCTCTACGAAAAATTGATAATACAAATCTCATGTAATATAAGACAAGAAATTTTAAATTTCTGGTAAATGTCATGTTTAGATTCTCAAAATTGTTTCAAAAGCAATAAATAGCATAATGTTCTTTGCATACTTAGTTTTAATTTACTTTGTTGGTTGTACTATGGTTTTACGTGATACAGCCCATGTATATAATACGAGCGGTGGATTTTTACGTGGATATAGACACGGTGACGCCACCGCGGCAGCCGCGCTACACTTAAAGCTAGGAAAACAATGCGCGCACGCACAATGAGCGGTGTTTTATGTACAGGCAGCGCGCGAGGAAACTTGGCGAAAGCTGAAGAAAAAGGAGCAGGCTGCTGATGGAGGATGCCGTGTGCCGTGCCTTGCCTTGCCTTATCTGTCGCCAACAGACTCTAGGACACAAAAGCTGAGGACGAGCGCGCCCAGAAGCCAGCCCACAACGCGCGCGCGCAATACAATTCCAGGGCTATAATGGCTCTAGTATCTTTGCTCGTAAAACTTTTCAAGTCCGCGGCAAAAAGTAGAGAAGGAAAAAAGTGAGAAAGTTTATTATGGGTAGTTGCGCCGAACGAAACTCAAATAAAACAAAGAAAATTCAAGATCCTGCTGAATAATAGAGCTCATGTACATGCATACATACCAACGCCTCTTGTACTACGTTTTATCGAAAGATCATTTCAGTAGCAGATTTTGTTTTCTTTCCTTAAAAACATTACATTGTAATCGATAATAATGAAGCAGAAACTTGAGAATGTTCTACTTGTATGTCATTTAAAATTTTTCAGTACTGAAAATTGTATAGAAGTAGTTTTTTTTTAAATGAATAATTTAAAAAAATTGTTATGTTACCCTTAGTACAAATGATCAAGAGAAATTAAAAAAGTACTAAACATTTTCCTTGCTATGTTAGACCCCAAAGCAATCAGACCACTTTAATATCGTCGATAAAATTTACATAAGAACCATGCGTGACAACTCGTTTCAAGACGCATATGATTAATTTGTCAAGCTAAAAACAAAAGACACAA